GGGCTGGGTCAAGATAGCCCAGATACTAGCAATCAATATAGAGGGCGAAGACCACCTTCGTAAGGCTACCTCCAACAGCAACAACAATTACAATCGAAGCGGCGCTAACGCTAGTAAGGCCAAGGACCCTAACGCTATAGACCTCGATCAGATAAGGATCAACCTAGCGAACATCCTAGAGGAGGAAAAACTATACCGAGCCAACGATAGCCTCTGTTTCAACTATGGCAAGGCCGGCTACTAGGCGCGTAAGTGCCGAAGCCCTACGAACCTAGATCGTAGTCGTAGCGATTCGCACAGTTATAGCCAACGTAGCGGTTATAGTAACTATAGTAGTAACTACAGCCCTTAGCAGGGACCTTAGCAGGGCAACTACAGCCCCTAGCCGAGCGGCAACGGCAACCATTTCGGCAATAGTCACTAGCAGCAGTAGGTATATAACAGCTCTAGCAACAATACAAGCGCTAACAATAGCAACACCTAGAGCATCCCCGCCCGCCATAGTAGCACATGAGGCAGCTACTACGGCGGCTATAATAATAATACCTGAATACACTTTATGAACGTATAGAACCCTAGCTATATAGTAGGCGAGGTCGACTCAGAGGACAACTAGGGTAGCAGTTACTAACCTTCCGACTACGACAGTTAGAGCGAGGACCGCTACAACTAGGGAAACGCTTAGCCCCTATACAAAGCCGTATATAGAGGCAGGGAACCAACTATAGGGAGGAGGACAGAGTGATACAGATGAGGATAGCCCTTACTAATGACAATAGGCTAGTTATCAGCGCTATAGGTCAGAAGAATTCTATTATACTGTCCTCCTACCTTGTTATAGACAGCTACGTAGTACTATATATATCACTAGTTGATTCTAGATATATAGGACTAGCGTTCCTCGACTTTAAGTTCATAGTTCGCTACTACGTCCTACTAATACGGTTATAGGAGAAGAAGCTACTGTTCCTCGCCGATAGCGTACTATCGTTATAGATCGAGTGGAAGGTAGAGGTCGGCCTGACGATTAGCGACTATCGCGAGCAACTATAGTTCTATATTACGACTTTGGTAGAGGATAACCTAGTTATCCTCGGCTTACTATAGCTAAGTAGATATAACCTAGCTATAGACTAGAAGAATCTATACCTCACTTTCAGCGATAATTGCTAGGGGCGCTGCTTACTGCTATAGTCAATATAGTTAACTATACTATAGGCGCCTACGATCTCTAAGACGTAGTACTATATATATATCGAGGACGTCGAAGACAAGGGCGAGCCTAAGGAGCGGGAGGAAGTCAACAAACTATTAGCGAAACAGAGAGCAGCAAAGTTATACCGGAGGTATAGTTAGCGCCGACGTCAGTAGTTGTCACAACACTACGAAGCTATAGAGGCAAGAGGAGGACCCTAGTAGACTATGGCGCTACTATATATACAGGCTAGAGTGATACCTAACCAGCTTCCCTATATCCTACAACAAGCGTAGAAGGTAGCCGGAAGGCGAGTACTACTAGCCTAATAGGGTAGAGTATCGCTAGCCCGACGGTATAGGGTATCGCTAGCCTAATAGCGCGGTATACTACTAGAACCTACTATATCGTGACGGACTAAATATATCGATAGTCGTAATATCAAGCTACTAAAGGCACTAAACTTTACCCTATTCTACTGGTAGAAAGGCGTTATAGTCAGAAGGACTACCCTCGGCGAGTTAGAGCAGGCGATATAAACGATCCTAGATACCTACTTATCTAACCTCCTAGAAAGCTTCTTCAAGGATCTTCTCCGCTATAAGGGCAGTGCCGAAGACTATAAGGCGTAACTACCAACCGGCTTCTATAGCTTCGTCAACGAAGTATAGTAGGATAGTCCGACGATATAGCGTATTATAGAGAAGGACGCCCGTAAGTTCTTCGACAAGTCTAACAAGCCGTCGTTAATAGCCAACGAGATCAAGGCGCGACTTCCCCCTGAATACCGCGACCTATTCGAAGCGTTCTTGCTACAGGAAGCAAATATATTACCGCTATACTGTTCTTACGACTATAAGATCGAGCTAGTGCCCGGCAGTAAGCTCTCGTTTTCGCGAAATAGACTGCTATCGCCGATAGAGCTTCGTATCGTTAAGAGGTAGCTCGACGACAACCTAGTCAAGGGCTTTATTCGGCCCTCGAAGTCGAGCTCTACATCGCCCCTCCTGCTTGTATAGAAGCTAGGAGGCGGTATATATATTTACGTCGACTACCGTAGTATTAACAATATCTTCGATAAAGAGCTATTACCCGATTCCACTGATCAAGGAGACCCTCGACTCAATCTACAAGGCGCGGATATTCACGAAGCTAGACGTCATCGTAGTGTTCAACAGGGTCCGAGTTATAGAGGGCTATAAGTAGCTAACTGTATTTATTATAAGGTTCGGCCTCTATAAGTCGCTAGTTATACCGTTTGGCTTATAGGGTACGCCTGCTACCTTTCAACATTATATTAATAACATCCTATACGATCTCCTCGACGACTATATAATAGCCTACTTAGATAATATCCTTATCTACTCGATAGGTAAGGAGGACTATATCAAGTAGGTCCGTGAAGTACTAAAGCGGCTTATCGATACCGGCCTACAAATCGATATCGACAAATACGAATTCTATACTACAAAGACCAAGTATCTAGGTCTAGTCATTACACTAGGCGGTATTGAGATAGACCTAGAGAAGGTTTCTATAATTACGTTATAGCTACCACCGACTACCTAGAAGTAGTTATAGTGCTTCCTAGGCTTCGCGAACTTCTATAGGCGGTTCATTAGAGATTTCTTAGGTATAGCATAGCTATTGTATAACCTTACGAAGAAGATAGTAGATTAGAACTAGACAAGTCGCTACTAAGCGGTATTTAAGTAACTGAAGTACTGTTTTACGTTAGCGCTAGTGTTACGAATCTACGACTAGGAGAAGCTAGCGGTTGTCGAAATAGATGCTTCGGACTAGTCTATAGGCAGCACCCTCCTATAGGAAGATAACAATAGCGAGCTATACCCTATAGCCTACTTTATTACGAAATACTCGGTATAGGAGTATAACTATAATATCTATAATAAGGAGCTCCTCGCTATTATTAAAGCGTTAGAGGAATAGCGGCTAGAGTTAAAGGGTATAAGCCAATAGTTTAATATCATTATAGACTATAAGAACTTATAGACTTTTGCAACTACAAAGTAGCTCTCGCCGCGCTATATACAGTAGTTAGAGTTCCTCTTATAGTTCAACTTTAGGATTATATATCGCCCCGGCTTAGCAAACGTAAGGCCGGATACGCTAAGCAGGAAGCCCGAATATATACCGTAAGGCGTTACCGACGACAGGCTATAGAACCGCAAGCGCCTATTGATCAACCCTAACCGCTTCAACCCGCTAACGTTTAGGGAGAGGGAGTTTCTATTTAGCTTATATATCCTACAGCTCGACGTCTCCCGCTATATCGATAATCTATTAACAGAGATATATATAGAATCGCCGCTATTGTAAGGCGTAATAATAGCGCTAGCAAACCTAGGCACAAGGGCTTAGCTAAAAAGACTAAAGAATAGGTTAAGGATACTATATACGGAGTACTATATAGTCGCCGGCAAAGCGTATTTCCGCGATAGGCTTGTCATTGACTCTAAGGATATAAATATATACCTCTAATTAATCTACTATATATATACCTCCGGCCTAAGCGGCTACCCTAATAGGGTTAAAACCTTAGATCTAATAAATCGGAAATACTAGTAGCTAGGAATAAGCGTTGTTGTGACAAACCCGGTCAGACCTGACTCTGAAAGGGTTCAGCAGAGGTATCAAGACTGGTTCGGTCCAATAGGTTCGGTGAAGCCAAAAGGTTCACAACAAGATGTTCCTTACAATGAGTATAGAATGCAAAGGTTACTACAAACACTATGATATATTGCTTACTAGAGGACTCCCGGAGCCCTCTAGCCCTGTAACTATATACTACTAGCTACGTACCCTGATCGCAGTGATCGCAGAACGATCCTTACGATCCGGCTAGTATACTCGTAGTAATCGCAACGCGATTACTCTAATTATCTAACGCTCGCTATAATCGTAGCTCGATCCCTACGATCACCCCTTGACTAGCTAGCTAAGCGATTGGTTCAGGCTATACCCCGTACGCCTGCCTCGGGTTACCGTATATAGCTATATTCGTAACACGATACTCCCTCCCCGGTACTTTCGTCCTCGAAAGGACTAATAGCCGTTCTTCCCTAGCGCCAACGTTCGTTAAATACTACTTCCCCTAGTCTACCTTGTCGGTAAGTCTTCCTCTCTTCTATCCTCTAGGCTCGCGCGCGTCGTTTGTTAAGATATCTAACCGTGTAAAGAAAACGAAACCTAAGGTTACGTTAACACTCCGCGCCAATTACCTTCTTACCGCGATCCTTTCTTCCGACGACTTCCTAACGATATGTCCTTGTTCTACCTACGAGGCTCGCGGGCTCGAGTCCTACGAGGCCTCCAAGGTCGATTCCTCCCGATGTATAGAGTACGTCCGATTTAAACGTTCGAATTGCGATGTACTTGGCGTTTCCCCTTCTTAACTTCGGTCTATTGCTTCTCGCTACTAGAAGCTCGAAGACGAACTCTTGGAAGCGGAGGAACGGGTCCTGCGGCTTTAGAAGTAAAAGAAGTTATAGTTCGAGAAGATAATACGGGCTATTTCCCGCGGTATCGATTCCGTAGAGGAGCTAGAGCGTATAGAGCGCGAAGAGGCGGAGGCGCTAGCGGCGTTAGACGCCTAGACTAACCCTCCTCCGTTATTAGCTACTCCCCCTCTTCTAGACGATAACTTCGTCCCGTCCTAGAACTATATGTACCCTAAGGTATAGCTAGAGCCTTCGCTAATAAGCGATTTTAGTCTCCTAGTAGGCTCGCCCTCCTAGGTAGCTTAAAGGTACGTTCCCTACTTTCCTTCTTTAACAAACGAAATAGTTACGTAGCGTAGTGGTCAGCGCCTACGCCTACCGCGTGCTTAGCCTTAGAGCCTTTAGCGATCCTAGGGTTGAGCAGGCTTCGCGCGAGGTTGTAGGTTCGAATCCTATCGTAATTGTAGTCGATAAATATCTAAGCCTTCTTCCGGCTAGGGTGTTTGTCGATCGTCTCTTTTTATATATTCTTATACTAACTTCGTTATACTAGTACTTCCTAGGGCGGCCCTTCTAGTGTATCTAGCTCGCCTTCGGTACTTCCTTTAGTCGATCCGGGTTTTAGCGGTAGAAGTTCGTAACCTTCTTAGGGTAGTAGAGGTTCTTAGCTAGTTCCTATAAGTTTTCTATCGAATCGAAATCTAACTATTTAACTAGATACTCTAGTCGTTCTTCGTTGATATATAAATCGAGGATTTCCTTAACGTCCTATTCCTCCTCCTTGTCCTGGGCTTCGACCTTAGTTACAAGCCTAGCGTTCTTAGGTACTGGTTCAAGGAGTATAACGTGGAAGACGTTGGTCCTGACTTTCATCGTTGTCGGTAACGCGATCCGGTAGTTGTTTTCCGAGATCCGCTCTTCGATCTTGAACGGTCCGATTTTCTTAAAATCTAGCTTCCTACTTAGTTAGTTTGTTCGAAGATTCTGTAAGTTGAGGTAGACCTTGTCTCCCCTCTCTAGGCGAGGACCCTCGAGCCTATACTTATCGTAGTAGCTCTTTATCCTACCTCTAACGAACCTAAGTTCGTCTCGAAGTATCGTATAAAGCGTATACATTTGGTTAGCCTTGACTACTACCCTAGGGACCGAGATATAAGGTCCCTAGCGCAAGTCTGCCTTATATCCAAAATTCGTAAAGAACGGGGTGACTTTCGTGGTCTCCATAGGTAATATATTGTATACGAGCTACGCTATAGGTAGAAGTATAACCCAGTTATCTTGCTAAAAGTTAACGTAAAGCCGGAAGTATTGTTCTACGATTTAGTTAAGTCGTTCCATTTGTCTATCCGTCTAAGGATAGTAAGCTGTCGAGAGCTTGCTTTTAGTTCCTAGGCGCTTTATAAGTGCCTACTAGAACTTCGATACGAACTTGGTATCTCTGTCCGTAATCCATTCCTTAGGCTACGTGTAGACCGAAGTAATATATCGATAGATTACGTCTACGAGTTGCTCTACTAACTACGACTCCTTGTATAGGAAGAAGTAGCTCCACTTAGTAAGTCGATCAACTATAGTAAGGATACTATCGTATATCGTTCCCGTTATCGTATCCTTTAATACTAGTAGCTTAGTAATAAAGTCTATTGTTACCGAGCTCTATAGTCGTACTACAACTAGTAGTAGTTAAAGGAGTCTATAGGGCTTGTACCTGTCTAGCTTACCTCGTCGGTATAGGTCGTATACCGCGAGCACCTTCTTAACCTTCTTCCTAAGTCCTAGGAAATCGTAGTGTTGCTTGATCCGTATAACCGTCTTAGCGATCTCTATATATCCCCCGAGTCTTGACTTGTAGATTTCCTTAATAAGCGCGGCCTAGCTAGTCTTACCGACGTAGGCCTTGTTGTTATATAGTAATCCGTTAGACCGGGGGTCTCGACAAACCCCCTTGTCTAGCCCGTCGTAGTCGCTATCTTCGCCCATTGACTAGTAGTGTTGGTACGTCTAGTCTTCGAGCGTGGCCTAGTAGCTATACTCGTTATATCGTTCTCGGAATATAGCGCTGTATTCCGCGGGCTACGCTAGATAGTATAGCGATCCATCGGCTTGTTCTTCGAACATCGGTAGTACTATCTCCTAGAACTTGCCTATATAGTCGGATCTCCTACTTAGGGTATCTGCCCAAGCGTTTTCCGTCCCCTTGATCCTTCTGATCGTAAAGTAGAACTAGGTTAGGAATTCTCGCTATCGAGACTATCGTAGGCTAAGGTCCCGTTTTACTACGAAGTACTAGAGATTCTAGTAATCCGTATATACCTAGACTAGTTATCCCGTACCGCTAAGGTACGACTTCTATTCGTAGAAAGCTGTGATAATAGCTATCAGTTCCTTGTCGTAAACTATATACTTCCTTTACGTATCGTCGAATTTCTTCGAGAAGAAGGTAACAGGGCGCTTCTTACCGTTGTCGTCCTTCTATATAAGTTGTCCTCCTATCGCGAAGTCCGAGGTATCGGTCTCGACTTCGTAGGGTTTTGTTAAATCTAGTAACAGGAGTACTATATCTAACGTAACCAGTTCTCGTAGCTATTAAAAAGCCTGCTCCTACTACTCTCCCTACTAGAATTCGACGTCCTTCTTCGTAAGGTCATACAGTAGTCGTACAATATTACTAAATCCCTTAATGAACATACGGTAGAAGTTAATAAAGCCGATAAAGGCTCTTACTTCTATCGTCGTCGTAGGTATAGGCTAGTTCCGTACTACCTTAACCTTAGTTGGTTCTATCCTGACTTCTCCTAGCGTGATCTTATAGCCAAGGAAAACCGTTTTCTAGACGTAGAACTTACTTTTCTCCTTATTAACTAAGAGCTTCTACATATATAGTGTATCCAGTACTTGTTTTATATACTCCCTATGTTCCTTAAGCGTTTTCGAGTAGATAAGAATATTGTTAAGATAATATACCGCGAACCTATCTAGAAACAGGCGTATCGCGTAGTCAACTATAGCTTAGAAGGTAGCTAGCGTATTTGTTAGCCCGAACGGTATCGTTAGGTACTTATAGAGTCCGTAACGAGTTCGGAAAGCCGTCTTCTATTCGTCCCCTACTTTAATACGAACGTGGGTATACGCGGTCGGAAGGTCGAGTTGTATAAAGTATCGAGCCCCTGCCAGGTAGTCTCGAAGCTAGTCGATCCTAGGCAAGGGGTACCTGTTCTTTATAGTCTCGTCGTTCAACTGTCGGTAGTCTATGTATATCCTGAGCTTCCTGTCCTTCTTCGGTACGAAGAGGATAGGGTATCCCGCTAGTAACTTCGATAGTCTGATATATCCGATCTTAAGATTCTTCTCGATATAGTTCTTTAACTCCTTATCCTAGAGTTCGTTAGTGTAATATACCTTGAAGAACTTTAACTAGGCGCCTTCCTTAAGTTTGATTTCGTGATCCTAAAGTCCGTGATCTGGTAACCCTTCTATATATTTTGCTTCGAACGCCGGGTATCCCTAGTACTCTACCGGGATCCGTCCCGTTTCGTCGTTCTTTACCGCACCTTCGTAGTACGCGAATTTGCCGCTAGCCGTGACTTCGGCTATATCGGCCTACTATACCTACTCTTAGAGCTAAGTATTACCGTAGTTATCGACTAAGATAATAGCGACCTCCTTGGTAGCCCGTCTCGGCGTACCCCCTAGAGTCTATCGTCGGCCTCGATCTAGGTCTATTTCGTTCAACCCTTTATAACTACCGCTTCTTCCTAAGTACGTAGTAGGTCGTCCGCCGTTATCCGCCTCTTGCGGTAGATCCTAGAAGTATACGCGTTTCGTCGTACTACTTTTTCGTGATCCGTTGTCTGCGCCTCCTATTACGTTAGTCGGATACAGTCCTGGTTCTGGTCGGGGCCGTAGGTAGCTACCTCCCTTCTAACTGATATCTAGGTCGTAATCCTCGTACTAGGGGAATCCTAAGATTATATCCTTGTCGGTCCCTATGTCCACGATATCGAAAATAACTTTCGTAGTCTTCCCTTCGATGGTAATGTCGAGTGGCTCGGTTTCGCGTCGAGCCTACTGTGTTTCGAATAGTCCCTTGATTATATATACAATGTCTTTTATCCTCTATGAAACCTAGAGTTAGTTAATGAATCTTAGTAAGATAAGGTTAAGTTCTAACCCTCTATCTACTAAAGCTAATACCTAGTATTGCTTCTAGTATACTGGGATCTAGAGTCTTCTATTGGTCCTAGTACCTGATATAGTAGTAATTTCTACTTCGCTTACCGGGAGGTCGTTATAGCCCTTCCGTTTCGCCTAGTTCTTCCTATACTAGTAGGCTTGTCGTCGTTATAAGGGTGTTAGAGGTTATCGGGCCCCTTGGAGGGCCTGGAGCCGTTTCCTAAGCGCTGTTGAGTACTATAAACCGCGTCGTTTAATTACCGATAGTCTACCTACTCCCGTAGGAGGTCGTGAAAGGCGTTCCCTTCCGCTCTCTAGCTTACTTCTATAATAGTACCGAACTCTTGTAACTATTGTTTACTACTCTGTACTAGCCGGTCCTTGTCCTCGCCCTTGTGTTCCTAGGTTAGATCTACGTTACGTCTTTTCCTCCGGGATATCAAGTCCCGCGAATAATGTTCTCTCGCTTCTACCTTTCTACGCTAGTACTCCTTACTTTTAGCTTACAAGTACTAGATATAATCTACACTACTATAGTAGCTAATATTATCGTCCTATAAATATATATATAGGGATGGCTATACCTACTATAGTCGTATATAAACCTTCCTGTCCTCCGGATACTCGAAGTACTAGAGTAGGTCGGATACCCCCTATCCTTAGTCGAACGTCTATTGGATCGGCCTAGGGCGCCCGTTGGGTATAGTCTTGTAAATAGGCTAGTAGTTATAGTTGTACTTCTCTTTAAAGTGATACTTATAGGCGTATATAACGTACTAGAACTATAGTACCTACTTATAATCCGCCCGTTTAGGGTACAACCTTCGTGATTCCGACTCGTCGACCTATCGGAACTTCCTTTCGTAGTCGAGTTCCTTTATATCGTTATTATTCTTTCCGAGGCTAATATAGGCTCTCGTCTTCTAGAACTCTTCCTAGTCCTAGGGTTTAGCGTTCTTAAGATACTACTACCTAGCTTAGTCGTAGTACTCCTATTCGGGGTTCCTAACCTCGGTAGGGTAGTAGTCCTCGGTACTCTAGTTGTAAGGTCTGCTCTATCTAATATCTCCTCGGTCGGATACGTCGTTGACCTAGAAGATCTTCTCGCGGAGGGTATCTACCTACTAGATCGCCCTACGGAGTCTTCCCTCGACTATCTGTCCTTCGGTAACTAACTTAAGGATCTTAGCCTAAAGTTAATCGTTCTATTCCTTAAGCTCTTAGACTTACTATTGGAGATAGACTAGGTCGGGGTCTCCTGCCGAGTCCCTCTTGTCTACAGTCCTCTATT